TCTCTCTCTCTCTCTCTCTCTCTCTCTCTCTCTCTCTCTCTCTTTCTCACTGTCATTTTATCGCTTTTTATAGGTATATGTTTTTATATAGATCGTGTTAATTATTGGTTGGAGGTGAAGGTGATCGCAAGGGCTGTTATCGATTAGTGGATTGCCATCAAGTGATAAATAATCTGTGAAATGAAATAGATTTATATGCTTCTGCTTAATCAGGACGATTCTTTACATTTGGCTGCAAATCGAAATTAATGTTGTCGATATAGTTAATAAGCGTGCTCACGTAAATACGTTTATATAAAATGCGAGATAGCTTGCGGATTATGCAAAAAGTCATGTTACGTCAACTTTTTTTCTTACGCAATTAAATTTTCTTTACGTAAGATTCAGTGGTCTGACACGTATCTGAAGATATGATTTTTGAGGAAATCAAGGAAGAAAGATAAATAAGCGGAAGGAGAGATTTTATAAAAAGCGTTTTGTTTAGCTCGACTACATTTGTGCTACGATCGAAAAGAGGACAAAAAAAAATCGAAATTTTAGCGATAACTAGTAAATGAGATAATCCGCGAATATTTCATCGTGCGACTTATCTACGTGTAATTGCAATTTGTACCTGCAATACCGAATGCAACGTTACGTGCAACTTTATTCTACTCAGCTGTGAAATGTGTCGCTAAAATTTGTTAACCAATTTACGTATTTTATTGTGAATGCAATTGTACTACGTTTTCTGAGTAATCGTCTGCGTAACACATTCGAAGAATGATGGAAGAATTATAATATTTATCATTATCTTGAGCTTGAGGCAATTTATATTTAGGTATAATATTTCCTTAGTCGCACATGAACATAAAATCGAACACAACTCTGTTATTTCTCTCTCTCTCTCTCTCTCTCTCTCTCTCTCTCTCTCTCTCTCTCTCGGTCTTGCTAATTTATTTTTTTAATATTTCTAATGATTTTTACTTATTAATTTATTAAAGTATTGATGATTTAATTATATTTTTTTGTAGAAATTAAGATGAATAATATATTAATGCTAAAGTAATATAAAAAATAAAAATGAAATTATATTAATAGCTATATATTGATTTGTTATATATATTATTAATTTATGTCTAAATACGTTGAAATCATAAGTATAGAAGATTTAATGTGTATTCTGTCCGACATACAATGGGATTAATGCGTTTTGCTGTCACTGTTTGTCAGTCACTGAAAAAGTTGATTAGCTATATAAATCTTATGGAAAAAATTACATATAAAATAGCAACAGGAAATATCCATGCACGCATACTCTTTGTAAATTTACGATCGATTTATTAAAAAACTGATGTCGTGAAGTTTCAGTAGTATTGGTGTTAATCTGCTTGCTATAGCTCAGCAAGAAAGAAAAATTAAATATTCATTTAGACGATATTTCTAAGCGTGTGCGTGTTCTCTGCAGTTTTTTTTCTTTATCGATGATTACTTTCCATGTAGCTCGTAAGCGAGTGAAACTCTTTAGCATATTGCGAGCGGAAAATTTGACTCTGTCAAGTAACCTACTTTTTCCGCGAATGCGAAAAACGGAAAGTGTTTGTTTGTCAATTTGCGTGATGTTTCTCGTGCTACTTGTACAATTTATGTACTTGTCATTTTCGACACTTCAAACTCTCGTCTTTCATGTTTGTTAAGCCATTAGTGTGTATATGCTATCACTGAAGAATTGATTAACGATTACAATGAACAATCATTTATACGATCTAGGGAATTTGTAAATTAAAAAAAAAAGGATACTGTTATATATATGTATATGATTGTAAGAAGTAAATCTTTTTATTGTACATGAATTTAGAAGCGATATATATTTGTCTTCTTAATTCCATGTAATAATCCCATGTAATATTTTACATTATATATTACATATTACATTAATATTTTACATATTATATATTATAAATTTTTCAAATTGGAAAGTACGAGATAATCGAGAAAAACTCTATATTCTATCATTATATATTTTTGTTGTTTCAATATTGTTCATTATATCAGGACATGCCATTTTGAGCTATTTTAGCTATTTTATCAAATGATCATCAAATATTACACAGGGAATCGATTCCGCAGTGTACGTAAGGAGGTAACGGAAAATGATCCTCAAAATGAGTCTATCGTCGATAAATGTAATTTTCTCGTGCCTCTTAGTGAATTAGCTCTGGGAGAACTCGTTGAGAAACCTTATTACGAAATTCGATTCTTTTTTCGATTATGATGTCCGGCGATCGAACGTTTAAGGCAAATCTGCGCAATTAATATTACGTTACACGAAATTATATCCGAATGTTTTTATAATTTTATACAAAAATGTAATTAATTGCGGCAATGAGAGAAAACAGCAACTCGCATTGTCTAAATTACGTTATCTAAATTACTTTTATTAGTTCTCTTGAATATATTAATGTTACACATATTTAAATAAATATTCTTTTATTACAGATTTCCAAAAACTCGAGCGTGAGGCGCGGATATGTAGAAAACTACAACATCCAAATATTGGTAAGTCAATGTTATTTTTGTCAATTTTATCGTGATACATTAAAGATGACAAAAAGCTATAACTGTCTCACCGTCGCATGTTAATTTTACACCATTCTCGAATATATATTATTAGAAGATAATTAATTGAATTACTAATCGATATTGACGGTGAGTCTTGAAACTTAATCTGAGTAGGCGTTCCAAAGTGAAATGATGAATAATCTGCACGTGACACGATCGTGGTATAAGTACGTGGCCTGCATCGCGAGTAGATATTGCCCATTTTAGTCAGACATACACATCCTCTGCATTACTTCTTTCCAACAATAAATTACAACGGTTGCGTAAAAATTAAGTATTTTCATCGCGAAAGAGCATTTAGTACAATATTATGAATTGATTGAAACAATCAATACTAATTTTATTTTAAACTTTATTTAAGTATATTTAAATTGTATTATTAAAACTTTGTGTGATATTCTATAAATTGTTCGACGTAATTGTTTGCTGTGTTTCTCAGGCGATATATATCATTGAATTGCTGTTGCAATTTTTTAATAGGTTTTTTTATAACAATTATATTATATCGTGCCGATAAATATCACAGAAATCGAATATAGACGACACGCAACATTGGAATTCAATAAAGCAAAAGAGAGAAATGCATAAGCGAAACGATGAATGAAGGATGACTTCGTTTTTTTACATTTCAATATCTCTGATGTTCTTCATTCTTTATATTTCGGTTATCATTTGTATCACTGGGTATTTCTTTTAAAATTGATAACATTTAGGAAAATTCCTTCTGAGAGATTGCAGTATTACGTTACGGTTGTTTTATTATCTCAAAAAAAAATAAATATTAAAAAAAAATGTATACATAAATATTACAAAAATATTGCAAGCACCATTTTTTGGCAAACGTAAATTTTATAATTCAAAGGAGAAACAAGTATATACAATATAATATATGTAAAAGTGTTATTTAATAAAATTGTAATTTTAATATTTATATATATTAAATATATATATATATATTAAAATATTTAAATGAATTTTATTCTTCATAATGAACGAAAAATATCGATGCGCATAAAGCTATTATTGTGACAAGTTTTAAGCAAACATTTGTTTTAGTCTTATTTTAATATGCGAAATTTGCGTACTGTCTTCTCCCAGATCGTTGTGAACGTGTTATGTACTTTTATATGAAGGAATCGTTGATCGATCGATACTTGCCGGGAGAACAGAAAATATTCATGTTCTGAGTGATGGAATAAATATGAAGAAGGCGGTGAGATTACATTTGGGATTATGGGATCTGCACGCATACTCTCTCAGCTGTTAAGACATAGAAGCTCGTTAATCCACCATCTCTTGGTAGACTCTAATTTCACGATAAACTTGTTTGAAAAAAAAAAAAAAAAAAAACTAAAAATTTCAGATAATCTTTTTTCACTTTTCTGAACGCGTATGCAATATCGGTATTGTTTTCCATATAAAGGCATGATTAATGTAAAGAAAATTATTAGTAACATATAATTGAATTATCAATAACACATCACATTTAATTTGTAAGTGTCATATGAATTTTACAAATATTTTTTTGCGAATTTTGCACAGAATTTGAACACTTTTTATATTTAATTTGATAATGTATAATCTTAATTCAATTATAATACCCTTAACACACACACACACACACACGCATGCGCGCACATACATGTATGAAATCGCATATTGCTGAATATTTGTTAAAAATAATCAGTATAAAATAAATTGAGTCTAATTTCAAATCTTGAGAGATTAACTGTATTAGTAATAATTGAAAGGAATTAAATACATTTAATTTATTTACAATATAATATATAAGTCACAATTTCATTTTGTTTCGACAATTGTCGAAAAGTATGTAGGCTTAGTTTATTATAAAACCAGATTTCTAATCTCTCACTAAGTTATACTAAGCGTGATACTTAAATAGCGTTTCAAAATAGTGTAAAAAGTTAAACGCCGTTTCAGAGTTGTTCCATTCGTGAATAAACCGTCGTTGCACACAATGTTGCATGTATGGTGTAATCTAGATAAAATGTAAATCGCGTCCCGTTCTGTTCGCGCTCATTCTCGTATATTTGATGCATAATGTTGGAAATGCAATTAATCTCGTATCTCTCGTCATTATACTTTTGACTTATGAATTACCCCCTGTTTTTATAATCATTTTAATATATATGTATATATATGTGTGTGTGTGTGTGTGTGTGTGTGTGTGTATATATATGAAATACTTGATGAGTCGATTGTTCCAGTCGATGTCATTTGATACGCTTTATTGAATTACGTTGATTCTATTATAGTAGCAGCACGAAGATTATATCATCTGGTTTATTCAAATCCTTGTTATTGATTGAGCACATGTAAGGCTACGAGAATTATAACGAAAATATGTTATAATTTTAACTTATTTGAACAATTTGTTTAAAACGACTAACTCATTTTACGTTTACGACTAACTCATTTTACATTTACGACTAACTCATTTTATGTTTTACGACTAACATTTTAATTTAAACGATTATCTAGAATTTTTCACAATTTTGAAATTTTCTGCAGATTTTAGAGTAATAAATACCATAAATTTTTAGAAATGTTTTAGAATAACTCATTTCAAAGTTTCGTATACTTGTCTTTTTATTTTATCATAGATTAGAGTAGAAACACGAATTAGGTTTGGCATGCTCTTGCAGCTCGCGGAGGCTTCCGTGTAATTCGATTTTCCGCGGATTACATGACTAGCGTCTCAAGACGTTGGTTATAGTTATATATTCGATGATAAATTGTATAAAAATGTACTCTGTTACTCTTGTCGTAAACTTTGAATTTTGCGTAATAGTGTGTATTTATGTAATAGTTATATTTCTCATTATAAATAATGTTATATAAAGAATTTTTTATTAGTCAAGAGAGTGAATAACAAAATCGAAAGATGTACATAGTTTTGACTTTGATTATGGTTTCCGCACGAAACATTAATGTCTTGTACATTTTTTAATTATTTTCCTTTCGGTGCAAAGTTTGATTAGATTCCATTTTTTTCAATAACTTTGGGATTTTTCTTTGAGAAATTTCACGATTTTGCTAGATATCCTGATAACAAAGTTAAGATCTGGTTAAAACAGGGTGAACCTAGAATTAACTAAAGAACAAACTTTCGTTGTCTGTTTGTCAAACTTGAGCTCGGCAGAATCCTTTAATTTTCAATGTTAAATAACCTCATGTAACTATGTTGAAGTTTAAATTCTCGTATAGTGAAAGTATAGATTTCAAATTTACTGAAGAACACGCTGCTAAAGCTCGATACAAATTTTACACATATTTGTGTGTAATATCTTTTCCCTATAATACCTGTTATATATTTTATATTTTATCTCTCCCATCACACATCACTTCACATTATATATACCGTGTGTCGAAAGGTTAAACTTATAAATAAATTATAAAACGATTCGCGCGTATGATACAGCGTAGTATGGCTAATTGATGATTACTTTAGTTAGATGCACGCAAGGACTATACTAACAAAGAAAAGGGAAACAAAAAATATAACTATTTACAAGTAATCTGTAACGAAGGTTAAGAAAGGTTTAGGTTGACGAAAAATCGGTACGTCTATTTCAGTCGCATTTTTTTTTATTGTTATTGCATTATTGTACTTGAAGTATACAAAGAGATTTAGGTATATCTATCAATTTATATTTATCATGACATTTTTTCATATCACTTTTATTAAGCATTTTGTTTGTGCATAAACTGAATGAGCGGCGCACTTCATCAAACGTTTCCCACTTTACACTGATCGAAACACACATTACATCTCTAATCGCGATTCTCATATAATATCTAATAAGTAAAACGTGTATTATAAATACGTGCAAATGTATATTCCTCCAATGTAGACGACCTCGATAAATTCAGTGCAGTTTTACTACCCGAAACAATAATCGCTCTCATTGCCAGCGAAAAAGGACGAAAATTTATTTTACTAGTTTCCTATTACGTGTCTACCCTCGTAATTATGTTTGTCTTGGCCTTGTATGTATAATAAGTAAGTGGGCGATTTATATTCGCATGGCGAATACGCGAGAATGATTGTAGAAAACTTACCGTTAATGAAAGTATATCGATTTCACGTTAATAATGCACCGTTAGTACGTACTCGTAATGATGATTCCGAAAATATGCCTTAACGGATGGAACGCAAATACAAAAATAGTAAGAAGAAGCGCAGAAGCCGTTTCCTGCGTGATTTATTTTATTTAAAGTCAAGGTAAAAAATTTGTCACGGATATTTCTGTCAACGACATTGCGATATGTAGACATACTCGTACATGTATACCTACATAAGTACTATAGCGTTGGAAATTTTTCTCAAGAAATACTTGCCGATTTGTAGGTCATTAAAGCACTGAGTGTAACTTATTAAATTATTTTAATTGCTTTACTATTTAATATACTGCGATTAGTGTAGTTCGGAAACTCCATCTTTGCCGCCGTACTTGGCTCTTTGAACCTTGACCTTTTCAATGTCTACTTCATTAAGCGGTCTCTCCGATCACGCGTATCTCCGATTGAAAGTCACGGTGTGAATTACAGTCGACTGATTTACCTTCAACAGTCCTCGAACTAAATTGAACGTCCAGCAAATAAATGCTTGATTTCGACGGCAAGCGCGATAATTACTAACTCCTCTCTCATTCGCTCGTAAGTTCGCTGAAACCTGCCTCAATGGCCGCGCTGCTAATTGATATAAATGCGACTCGGCGCGCCGATTATAGCGTACAAACTTCCACTTACAATTAGACGCGATGCACGTCTTCATTTTCATAGCAGCTCTTTCAAACCCGAAAATCTAACACCGTTAAATAATTAGAAAGAAATACAAAGTAGCATATTGATACGCCAATGACTCCGACATTTTTAATAACTCAATGATTATTTTGTCGTCAATCATTTTTTTT